CGTAATTTCGCACCAGAAATCGGATGTTCATGAAAGCACTGCACGGAAATGGTCATTTTCAGGGCGATGACAACGCAGGTAACTATGTCCGCACTCTGTGTCTACTCTTGTTCTTAGGAGCGGTATTGTACTCTTGTTTGTGGCAGGGAAAAGAGGAGACGTTGCTGACGCCGGCTCCACGAATTCGATAGCCATCGTGACCACAAGTTATATGTACGGAAAGCTCCGACTCTATAATCTCTGAGGAGGGCATTTAAAGGACTTCAAAGGAGCACTTGTGCAAAACTGTACATATTTTGAATAGAATGACAGTACCCAAAGTCCCCTGAACGCCCCAAGCTTAGCATCGAAACTCCTGTAGTCCAAGACTGCGCAACACTTCTTCGGGTGATCTTTGAAGAGTTCTCCTTTGCCCTTTCTTTATCTCATCTTCATCTTTATCTCCATGGATGACCATCTGTGAGCACGTTCCAGTGACCTTTATAGGTTGGGTTGCACCATAAAAGAGTTGCGCAACTGACGTACCAGGTCGACGAGCCCTTTTGTTTCTCATAATTATATTGAATATGTCGTGATGCACAAGGAATTGTCCCCTGGCCTTTGACAGGGCCTTTACTATGGCGGACAGGTCAACCATGAATAGGGTCATTAACCAGTACCTACAGTATAGCGGTAATGGTATTTGATTTTGAACACAACCTGTAGGACTAATAATTATGAGACGACAGGACGGCGTTTGGGTGACTAACGGTGTATGTGGCAGGACTGCAATCGCTACTAGAGGGCATAAAGTTGTTTCATAGCCCCAGAAGAGATAACTGAAATAGTAATGTGCTATCTCCTCATGAATGATAAGAACAGATACCAGAGAGTGAGAGATATTACCTCTTCATACAGGATCAGCAACGAATGCTTTCAGTTACTTATCCACCAAACAATAGTTACTGGTAACAGCGATCTGACTGTCTGAAGTTGCCTGTATGAGTGCATTTTTATTGTGCAACTAGTTCTCGCAACAGAATCACTGTCATTGTTGTACGTAGTTCCTACTGCTACATTACTTATCCTGGAGATGGAGCGGGCGTGATTGCATACACCATTTTAACCTGGTGGCTTCTATGCTTCTGAGGCTATTACGGTTATGGGACGAATGTTATCGTGTTTCTGTCAGGCACAAGACAGAACCAGTTCTTTCAAATGGAGGAAACCCACGAAAAACGCATCTCACGCCGTGTTCATTTCAAATATGCAGTCACGCCCTCTCCATCTTGGGATATGGGGTCTAGTAAATTGTTTGCATCTGTTATCAAGTCCGCAAAATAATTGTGTGAGAACCAAGGGACTTCTCAACAACAACTTCGCACTTGTTACTTTTTACTACT